GTCAGCAGCCGCACCCTCACTCCCATGCCCTTAGCACCAAGCCACACCCAGTCCCAGCCACTCACACCCACTCACCGGCTCAGGTCCACTTTCTTTTCAGCCACAAGGTGGGCTAGCCGGAGGGGTGTGGAGATGAGAACATCACAGGCGGCCCCTTTGAGCTCCACGCAGCCAGCAGTGGCCTTGGTCAGCAGCCGCACCCTCACTCCCATGCCCTTAGCACCAAGCCACACCCAGTCCCAGCCACTCACACCCACTCACCGGCTCAGGTCCACTTTCTTTTCAGCCACAAGGTGGGCTAGCCGGAGGGGTGTGGAGATGAGGACATCGCATGCCGCCCCTTTGAGCTCCACACAGCCCGCAGTGGCTTTGGTCAGCAGCCGCGCCCTCAGCTTCGTGCCGGCTGCCAGCTGCTTCAGCGCCCGCGATATCTGCAGCGCTAGCTCACGTGTGGGCACAAGAACCACTGCCCTGATGGCCTCCGGTGAGTGGGACTGGCGGGGGGGGAGGGGGGGGGGGAGGGGGGGAGGAGAGGTGGAGGAGACAGATAGGAAAAGGGTTAAAATATCCGAATGTAGAGATGATGTCTTGAAGCTTCAGTGCCCACGATATCTGCAGCGCCAGCTCGCGTGTCGGCACGAGAACCACTGCTCTGATGGTGTCCCATGAGTGCGACTGGTGGAGGAGTGGGGAACAAAACAGGCATCATACTGCTCAACAGGTCAATCATTGCAATATCAGCAGTGCCAGCTCGCGTGGCGGCACAAGGATCACTGCTCTGATGGCGTCACGGGAGTGGGACTGGTGGAGGGGGTGGTGGGGGAGGAGAGGTGGGACCGTGGGGGGGACAGGACGGAGGGAGACGACTGAGAGGTTCAACGGCTACCCTATCTGCAGCTCCAGCTCGCGTGGCGGCTCCAATAACTACTCGAATGGCATTGAGGGAGTGGGACTGACTAGCAGTGGCGGTGGTGGGAGGGAAAGGTGGGGGGGAGGGAAACAGGGAATGGGGAACCTAGAAAGCAGCTCACCTTGAGCGGCACAGCTCACCTTAAGGGCCATGACGATGGGAAGAAGAAACGCAACGGTCTTGCCTGACCCCGTGGGCGTGCGGCGAAGCACTCTCTCCCCTGCAGCAGCAGCGGCACCGCCTGCCTCTGAGTGGCCGTGGGGGGAACGGGAGACCTAGAAAGCAACCCACATGAGCCTACACAAGCTCACCTTAAGCGCCATGACAATGGGAAGAAGAAAAGCAACAGTCTTGCCGGACCCTGTGGGCGCACAGGCGAAGCACTCTCGCCCCTGCAGCAGCAGTGGCACCGCCTGCCTCTGAATGGCCGTGGGGTGTTCGAACCCCATCTCCTGCAGATTGCGCAATATGCGCCGCCGACAGTTGTACCTGTTGGGTGGGATAGGATGGGGTGGGGTGGGATGGGACGGGGTGGGGTGGGTGGGACGGGATGGGATGAGATGGGATGGGGTGGGATGGGGTGGGATGGGGTGGGATGGGGTGGGATGGGATGGGGTGGGGTGGGATGGGATGGGATGGGGTGGGAAGGGATGGGGTGGGGGTGGGAAGGCGTGGGATGGGATGGGATGGGATGGGATGGGATGGGATGGGATGGGATGGGATGGGATGGGATGGGATGCGGTGGGGTGGGATGGGATGGGATGGGATGGGATGGGATGGCTGGAATGGTGAGAGATGGGTTTTGAGACATGACGGGCAACAACAATAACAGCATCATGGCCTAATCAGAGTCACAACCCTACTCACTCACTCACTCACTCACTCACTCACTCACTCCTCTAACCGCCACCCACTCACTAGTCCGCGCCCACACACTTTGCCTGCCGCCCACTCACTTGTCAGCCAGTTCTTGGAAGGACTCGAGAGGAGCCGTCACCAGGTGGCTGGACACGTGGATGCGATGGCGCTTGCGCAGCACTGCTGCGTGCTGCCACGTGGCGACCACGGGGGTAAGGGAGGAGAAGGGAAGCCAGGAAGGGGTTTAGGCAGGGGTTGGTTGAGATGGGGGGGGTAAAAGGGGTGGGAGTGGGTGGGGGGAGAGAAAGGGGTGGAGTGGAAAGGAAGAAAGCGAATCTTGGGATGAAGCATGAAAGCTTCGCTCCTAGTTCTTCCGAAAACCAATCACGAAAGCTGTGTGATGAAATCGAGACACCAAACCTCTCAGAGAAAACGCTGAGGGGTTGAGAGAAGCTTCAACAGTCACTCACTTCAACGGGGTCCATTTTCTTCTCCAATTCTTCTCCACCAGAAGCGCTGGACGCTCCATCATCCGGTCGATCTGAGCCGTCAATCTCTGTTCGAGACGCTGATGCTGCTCCTACTGTTGCCGTCTGCTCACGCACCTGCAAGCATCGGAGGAGAGCGAAATTCAGAATCCAGAAATAAGCAAAAAAAAAAAACAAAAACCTGGTAAACACCGAGAACCCCGTCTGGTAAAGCCCGAAACCCTTAGTGTGACTCGCGTCCACTGAAGCAACGCCAAGCATTCATAAGTGACCAGCGCAACGCATCAGTGGTGCAGTAGCCGGCTGGCGACGCGCGGGTTTCTAGAAACGTCAAAACGGCTACCACTGATGCGCTTTAGAGAAATCTAGAAAGCGGCACGACGTGCACCTTCTAGAAGAGCACGGCTACTGTAACGAGGAACACACTGAACGCGTCGATGTTTAAAAAAAAAATAGGCGCCTCAAAAGTCGCAGCTACTACTGTTAACGAGAAGCACCTTGAACACGTCAATGTCCTTCTTGAATCGTTTTTTGTTAATGCTCGTTCCCGCAAACAGAAGCCTCTCGACGTCCATGGCGACTTGCGACAGCCGACGAGCGCCTGTGCGACGAAGCGAACGCGGAGAGATGAAGTGACGGACGCCGTCGGGAGCGGGCTCGCTTGCGTGAAAACCCTCCAAACGAGCGTCCGCGAGTCTGTTCCGCAAAAAGACTGAACGAGGAGCCTACTAAAAGAATCGAAGAGCTTGCTGTCCCGGGATGCTAAACTGTCGTTGTCAGAGAATAATGGCTGCGTTTGAAAAACAGGTATGCCGAAAAGTGTGCTAGCTGACTGTCAGTACAAAAACTTCCGAGGGTATTAACTTGTTGTAAGCAGGTAGTATTGAGTAATGAATTGACCGAAAACCGCATATATCTAGTTTCGGAATAACCTGCTGCCGCGGATGTGCTGATGGAGAAGGAATGATGAGTACAGAAAGCAACTTGCAGATAGGAACGTCGCTACTGTACGGCCCTGTAATGACTTGGATAGGAAATTCTAGATGAGCTCCCAAGGTTTCGCAAAGGATCGACGAATCGCTTCGCTGAGGTTCCAGATGGTTTGTTTCTCTGGGAAGTCCTGGAAGTTTAGTGTGGTAACCAGCATCGACTTAATTCGTCCAGAAAATATAATCGCCAAATGACAGCACACCTTTTCTCAAAGACCTTCCTCCCTCGGCACTTGGTCTCGCTGGTCCTTGCTTCAGCTGGTTAGGGTTATGCCATGTCTGTTATTACTGTGCGCCTTCCCCTACACGTCAGAATCCTTTACATCCTACCATGATAACCCTCCTTGTGTGTCTGTATCCTCGTTGCATTGCGCATTGAGTCCTGTCAGTATCAAGGTAGTAGTAGTAGGTTAGCATCAAGCTACTAGTAGTAGGTTAGTATCAAGCTACTAGTAAGGTAGCATGCACCGTTGCTGATTCGTGTTGCAGGGGTTTTCCTGTAGGCATGTCCCTTAGCCTCTTGTTGCCTCTAAGGCTCCTTTCTCTACCACGTGTCGCTCTATCAAGCCCAATCTTCCGCAATCTACGCTTTACGCTCCAACCCATCGCACGTCCCTCCGCTCTCTCTCACACCGGTTCTATCCTGCCGTACTGTCCCTCCCTTAGCGGCCGCGCCGATTCCGTAACTCCATCGATTAGCATTAATTTACCAGCTTTTATTCGCGATTCGACCGACCATAGCTTTCGTGAACAGGGACCGCAAGGGACCTGGCGGACCGTCAGATTCAACTCTCCAGGAAACGGTTCTCCGGCCGTTTTTTCGGAATCAGCCGCTTGCTCGAATCCGGCAGTTTCTTCGAAATTCCGAGCCTGTGCGGTATCGCAGAATCTGTCGCAACGAACGTCAGGCGCGGAGGACGCACGGAACGCGTCCACGTGGCCGAGGCATCAAATAGAGCGCTCCGCGAACTACGGCGGTGTTTCTGCAACAGCTCCGTCACCATCAGGAACTTCAGAGATCGCGGAGCCATTTTCTTCGAGAATGTCGACAGAGGACGAGGTGTACGCGTTCGTTAAGGGATCTGACGACGCGAAAAGACTCCTATCGGGGATAAAGCTTGCCGAGGACAGCGGTGGAGTGGTGCTGAGAAGCGACGCGGACGTTTCTTCTGCGAAGGATCTTGTCGGATTCGATGTGGATAGATTCTTTAGTGCCCTGTCGACTGACGGACTTGGACGCACGTTGCTGGCCAGCAAACGAATTTCGTCAACTCACACACTTGTATCAAAGTAAGCAGCTAGAGTAGGCTAGGACCAAACAATGGGAGGGGAGGTTAGGGGTGAAAGAATGGGAAGAGAGTGGAGGAGACTGTGTGAAGATTTGCTGAGGAGGCTTGTACTGTGTGCTTGACATCAATGCTGTATTGGACGAGGGAGGGAGAACGCCTCTTGTGACTTGGTGTGCCGTTGCTCATCCTTCTCATGGCGTGTGCTGCTGTGCTGTTGTGCTGCATGCTGGTGATTGGCACATGGTGTCATGTGTTGTGCTGTGCATGCATGCATGGATGGCATGATGTGCTGTGCTGTGCTGCGTTGATGAATGCATGGCATGTGTTGCACTTTGTTGAAGCATGCGTGATATGAAGCATGCATGATGTGAAGCGTGCATGATGTGAAGCGTGCATGATGTGAAGCGTGCATGATGTGAAGCATGCATGATGTGAAGCATGCATGATGTGAAGCATGCTTGTCACGATGCACAATGCTGTCATGCGCCATGTTGCTGCATGCATGCACGCATGGATGGATGTGGCATTTTCCTTTCAGGAGCTTCGAAACCCTCCCCATAGGCACCGTCTGCATCTCTCGCATTCAGTACAGCGGACGAGGTACTTCCCTCATCCCACTCTCCCTCATTCTCTTCCTCTTCCTCCCGGCCTCGCTCCCCATATCTCCCCCCCCTCCTTCTCCGTTCCATTCATCTTTCACGTTAGAATTCTCCCTCTCGACGCTCCTTCCCCTATGCCCCATCTATTGTTACATGCTAAAGTGTTTTCCCCTCCTTTCTATCAAGTGCCTCGTCCCCCTCCCCACCCGTCGCCCCCTCTCCCTGCAACTGTCCACTCCCTTGCTCTTCATCTCTCTCTGACTGTCCCCCACGTGGCAGGGCGCGGAGGCAACACGTGGGAGAGCCCGGAGGGCTGCCTTATGTTCTCGCTCTCACTGCGATGGATTGACGGGCGCACGCTGCCTCTGCTGCAGTATGTGCTGTCGCTGGCAGTGGTGCAGGCGATTGAAGACATGGCCAAGGAGAGAGGGGTACGTGGCTGGTGTTGGGTGTTTGTGTGTGCAAGAGAATGTTTGAAACAAACGAGCAACCTGCTGCGGTTGCCGCTGCTGCAGTATGTGCTGTCGCTGGCAGTGGTGCAGGCGATTGATGACATGGCCAAGGAGAGAGGGGTACGTGCTGGTCTGTGTCGCTTTTATTGTCATGACACAGCAATCTGTAGCAATGTTCTGTTCTCCATGGCTCTTTTCGATATACCAGTCTCCTTTAGATGGCTCCCAAGTGGTTGAACAACATTCTTGTGATTCTCCCATCCCACCATCCACCCCTCCCTTCCTCTTCTTTCCCCGTTCCCCTCCTCCGTCTCAACAGACCAGCCTCCCCCAGGTGGCCCTAAAGTGGCCCAACGACATATTTCTGGGCGGGCTGAAGGTGGGCGGCGTGCTCTGCACGTCATCCTACCGCAACAGGGCATTTGACGTCACTGTGGGTGAGTCAGACGTGGGGAGAATGAGTGAGAGCGTTAGTGGGTGGGTGAGTGAGTGGGTGAGTGGCTGAGCAATAGGGTTGGATGATTGGGCTAGCAGGGGCATGCTCCTGTACCTACAGCAGCAAGGCGTTTGACTTCACTGTGGGTGAGTGGAGCGAGCGAGTGATTGAATGAATGAGTGATTGAATGAGTGAGAGTGTGAGTAGTAAGTGGGCAAGTGGGTGAGTGATTGATTGAACAATTTCTCATCTTACTGTCCCACCTTCTTCGCTCTCAATCCCCCCACCACCACATCCATCAACGCCGCTCTGGCTGCTGCCTACTCCTCTGCCCCGTCCATTCCCCGTCCTGTTTCAACACCTGCCACAGACATAGGTCTGAACGTGGACAACGCCCATCCCACCACGTGCATCAGCACCGCTGCAAGCCGACACCTGCCCCTCTCTGCCCCTTGTTCCTCCCTCCTCCCTTCCACTCCCCCATCCGCCCCTTGTTCCTTCCTCTCCCATCCCACCTCTTCCTCCATGCTCCACCAGGCATAGGTCTGAATGTGGACAACGCCCAGCCCACCACGTGCATCAACGCTGCTCTGCAAGCTGCCTGCCCCTCTGCTGCGCCTGTCTCCCACGAGGCTCTGCTGGCCGCTCTGCTCAACCGCCTGCACTCACTGCTCACCGTCTTTCAACAGCAAGGTGGGATGGGGATGAGTGGGGGGTGGGGGATGGGGGGGAGGGTGGGACGGCTGAGCTGAATCGCCTGCACTTGCTGCTGCTGGTGTTTGAACTGCAGTGAGCGTGGCTGATCCCCCTGCTCTCTCCCTTCTCCTCTCCACCAGGCTTTAAGCCTTTGGAAGCGGATTATCTCCAGCGCTGGCTGCACAGGTACCTTTTTTTTTACCGTCCCTTTCATTCCTTCCGCCCCTGCTCTGCTCTTTCTGCTATGATGCTCTCGTCTCCCACCCCTCCCCTCCTCTTTCCCACCCTCCACCCCCTCCCTCCCCCTCCCCCCCCCCCGCCCTCCTTTCGTCTTTTCTTCCCCGCTTGCAACTCTAATGCTTGCATCCCTTCTGAGAATTCTCATAAGTGATGGTAAATTTTTTTCCATTCCAGCCCTCTTTGTGAATGCTTTTTTATTCGCCCAATCTCTTCAACTCCTTTCTTCTCAAATCTATCCTTCCTTCCAATGCCTCTTTGAATCTATTTCCCCAACCCTCCCCCTCCTCTCTGATTTTCCTTGACTCCGTTTTCCCCCTGCCCTCGCCCCCCTGCCTTCGTTCCCCCTGCCCTCGCCCCCCTGCCTTCGTTCCCCCTGCCCTCGTTCCCCCTGCCCTCGTCCCCCCTGCCCTCGTCCCCCCTGCCCTCGTCCGCCCTGCCCTTGTCTCCCCTGCCCTCGTTCGCCCCCCTGTGCCCTCGCCCCTCCCCAGTGGCCAGCACGTGGTGCTGGAAGAGCCTAAAGACGGTGGAGGCACCACCCAGGTCTCCCTCACAATTCAGGTGTGGTTTCAGGTGGGGTTTCAGGTGGGGGTTCAGGTTCAGGTGGGAGTTCAAGGAAGGAGGAACGGGGGGGGGAGAGGGGGGGGGGAGGGTGACTTTAGGTGGGAGTTTGGGTGGGATTTCAGTTGGGGTGTTCACATGTGTCAGGTGGGTTCAGTCTTCAGATTTAGGGTCAGGTGTGAATAGTTTCTAGTTCCCTCAAGTTCCCTTGTATTCGTGTACTTCAGATTCCCTTTGGATTCAAGCTCCCCTGTTCTCCCTCCCCCCTGCTTCCTTCCCCCATGATCCCTTCCCTTCCCGTTTCCCCGTTCCTGCTTCCCCGTTACCTATTCGCTGCACTTTCAACCAAGCGCACACTGATGCTTTTTCGTTTGCTAGTCCATCACTTACACACACACACACACACACACACACACACACACATTCGCACGCACGCACGCACGCACACACTCACGTACACACACACCGCATACATATAGGTACACACGTATGCACCAGCAAGTTGTTTCCTTCTTGAACTTCTGTCTTCCAACCTGAATCTAGACTTTCCTCAACCTGAATCTAGACTTTCCTCAACCTGAATCTATACTTTCCTCAACCTGAATCTAGACTTTCCTCAACCTGAATCTAGACTTTCCTCAACCTGAATCTAGACTTTCCTCAACCTGAATCTAGACTTTCCTCAACCTGAATCTAGACTTTCCTCAACCTGAATCTAGACTTTCCTCAACCTGAATCTAGACTTTCCTCAACCTGAATCTAGACTTTCCTCAACCTGAATCTAGACTTTCCTCAACCTGAATCTAGACTTTCCTCAACCTGAATCTAGACTTTCCTCAACCTGAATCTAGACTTTCCTCAACCTGAATCTAGACTTTCCTCAACCTGAATCTAGACTTTCCTCAACCTGAATCTAGACTTTCCTCAACCTGAATCTAGACTTTCCTCAACCTGAATCTAGACTTTCCTCAACCTGAATCTAGACTTTCCTCAACCTGAATCTAGACTTTCCTCAACCTGAATCTAGACTTTCCTCAACCTGAATCTAGACTTTCCTCAACCTGAATCTAGACTTTCCTCAACCTGAATCTAGACTTTCCTCAACCTGAATCTAGACTTTCCTCAACCTGAATCTAGACTTTCCTCAACCTGAATCTAGACTTTCCTCAACCTGAATCTAGACTTTCCTCAACCTGAATCTAGACTTTCCTCAACCTGAATCTAGACTTTCCTCAACCTGAATCTAGACTTTCCTCAACCTGAATCTAGACTTTCCTCAACCTGAATCTAAACTTTCCTCAACCTGAATCTAGACTTTCCCGACCTGAATCTATACCTTCCTCAACCTGAATTTACACCTTCCTCAATTTGCCTCTTCCCTCGTCTATCCACTCACCACTCCTCTCTCCTCTCCACTCACCTTCCCCCTTGCCTCTTCCTCCCCTCAGGGTCTCACTACGGGTGGTTACCTCCTAGCAACTGACCCTTCAGGGGCACAATACGAGCTTTCACCAGATGGCAACAGGTTAGTGACGTCACTATACATAGTATGAAGTAGAATATATACTGATTCTCCTCCTTTCCTTCAAATCGTGGCCCTCCTTCCCCTCCGTTTCCTCCTTCCCTTGCTTCCCCTCCGTCCCCTCCGTTTCCTCATTTCCTTGCTTCCCCTCCGTCCCCTCCTTCCCTTCCTTCCCTTGCTTCCCCTCCGGCCCCTCCTTCCCTTCCTTCCCTTGCTTCCCCTCCTTCCCCTCCTCCCCCTCCCTTCCTCAGCTAATTTCCTTACCCCTCGCAGGCTTACTGGTATACATGCTGCCCGGCATTTGACCTCTGTTCTTGATTACACATGCATCTATGTGATGCTTGCGTCCGCCACCCTGTCGAACGAGGGTCAAGGAAGAGAATCATATGTGGCGATGGCAATGTCAAACAGTTTTCTGACCTCTTTCACACATGCCTGCCGCATCACCTTCCTGTTTGCATCACCCTTCCGTTCCCATCACCATCTCTCCTCTTCCCCCCACTCACCAGTCTGGACTTTTTCAAAGGGCTCATGCGCCGAAAGCTGAACCCAGAGGAGCAGGTGGCAGGGAGGCACTGACTTACTGACCATCACCCTCGCAGTCTCCTCCTGGATCCTCAGCAGGTGATGCCCAGTTCGTCTGAGGCCTCTCCACCAACCTCGCTTTCCCTTCCCCTTTCCCCTTCCCACCTGTCTTCGCCTGCCCCTTCTGCTCCGCCACTCTTCCACATGCCCCTGCTCCTCCCCCACCTGTTGTCCTATTTGCCCCCCTGTCTGCCTTTTCTTCTCGCCTCGCCCATCTCCCCCTCGCCCCGTGTAGCGCCTGGCCATTGGGATCTCTCTCCGTCACCCCGGCCCCCTCGCACAGTAAGGCTCCTTTTTCACCTTCTGTGCTTTCGCCTAGCGTAAGGCATTCCTTGCCTTCCATGCCGTGCCATGCGATGCAATTCCATGCCATGCCATGCCATGCCATGCCATGCCATTCGATGCAATGCAATGCTACGCAATGCCATGCGATGACATGGTAAATCGTGTTATGCCATGCCGTGCCGCATCATGCCGTGCCGCATCATGCCATGCCATAACCAGTCTCAATATTCCACCAGTCACACCATGCCTGTTTCTACTCTATCAACCCAACCACGCATGCACAGTCCGTTGCTTGCTGTAGCCTCTGCTTTGTATCATCATCGCTTACATCTCTTGCGTCACTCGCACGATCTTCATTGTTGCTTCTAATGCAGATGCACATGGCGAGGACGCTCCCACCAGCCCTACAGTGCACTACCGGCAGTTGCTGCAGGCGATCAAGACATGTACAGCGAATGCGGACACAGACCCACCTGCACCTGCTTCTCCTGCTGGTCTCACGGCCTCCTCTCCCTCTATCTCCCTCCAAGCTTATCCTTCCACACCCGCTGTTGGTGATTTTTATCAGAAGGCAAAAGCAGTAGGTGCTGTAAGCAAAAGCAGGACCACAAGGGCTGGTCCTGTTAGTAACTGGGCCGTGAATGAGTCTCGCCAGGAAGCTCCTCGTTTATTCAGTGACCCACTACAAGCAAAACTTGTTAGCAATGTTAGAGAGGTGTTTCGTCACGGGGACAGTCTGGGAATGACGGAGTCAGAGCGAAGAGCGGCTGTGGCTGCTGCTGTTAGGGTAATTAAGTTCCTGCGGAAAGTCAGAGGGTTGTAGTTATGGTGCCTTTTGAGATGCCTCAAAAGCTGTGGTGGCTGCTGTTGCTGCTTGCTACGGTGCTGAAAATCTTAGTGAACTCTAGTTCTTACCAGGCGTGCAGAACTCGAGTTTTGGTGCCTCGTCCATGTGCCTGTTTTGGTTACTCAGTGCAGAAAACGCTGTAGTTGGGGCCAGGAGCACCTGTGCAGCATCCCTGTATTCGCTGCTGGGAAGGTGTTTCAATGTTGGAAAGAGATAGGAGACTGGAGATTCCTCTGAACGACCCCTTCTGTTTGATTACTCTGAAAAGCCTATTGACCTTTGACTATACTTGAAGTCTACATACCACCTGCTGATGCTTGCAATACCTAGCACTTAGATGTTTACTATTTCAAACAGGTGGTTCACAGCGGAGTTCCATTCGCTCACCACACTGAACCTTACTGCATCTTGTTACCCTGTAAAAAGCCTCGGTGCACAGCACAGCTTCTGCCGGGGTTGACTCCAGGCCCTCAGATATCAGGCATTTTACCCTGATTTGACTGATTTTCAGCCTTTTTTCTGTACCAACAGTCAAATTAGGCTCATAACTCACTGCTTAGTTACCTAGGGTTTTGGCTAGGAAACGTGAGTATGGAGAGGAAGGTTTGGCAAAAGAGGATGATTGATTAGAAAGGAAGGTACAAGTAGGAGAAAGGGTGGGCAAGATGGTGCACCACCAACAATAACAGTAACACTACACAGTAGCTACACTAGCAGGCAGTTATAAGAAATTTACAATTTCTAACACACCCCCTAACTGCATGGAGTGGGAGCCACGTGCAGAGACACCAGATCAGAGTAGCATAGTAGGTGTACGGTGGCAGAGGCACCGGTGGCAGGTGCGGCGGTGGTAGGTAGACTTCACTCCCGCCACCCCCTCACCCTCCTCCCCCACTGCAGTAGGTGTGGTAGTAGGAGGCGGCTGTTGCTGAAACACGGGGAGGCGGCTGCTGCTGAAACACGGGGAGGCGGCTGCTGCTGAAACGCGGGGAGGCGGCTGCTGCTGAAACACGGGGAGGCGGCTGCTGATGAAACACGGGGAGGCGGCTGCTGCTGAAACACGTCCGCCCCCCCCTCACCCCCCCCCCACAGCAGCAGGCGCAGCCGTGAGAGAGGAGGAGGCGTGGCGGCAGCTGCTGCTGCTGAAACACATCCGACACCCCCTCACACTCCCCCCCTCCCCCCCCCCCCAAACTGCTGCACTCGCAGCAGGGAGATGGAGGAGAAGGGGGGGGGGGGGGGGGTAGGGTATGAGCCGCGCGTGCGACTGCAGGGCGCGCGGGCAGGCAGAAACCGTCGCGCGCGACGGGCAAAAACCGACGCGCACCCGGGGCGCGCGACGGGCAGGAACCGACGCGCAGCCAGGGCGCGCATCGGGCAGAAACCGGCGCGCAGCCGGGGCGGGCATCGGGCAGAAACCGTCGCGCGCCCGGGGCGCGCGAAGGGCAGGAACCGACACGCAGCCGGGGCGCGCATCGGGCAGGAACCGACGCGCAGCCGGGGCGCGCGTCGGGCAGGAACCGACGCTCGCCCTGGGCGCGCGACGGGCAGCTTGATGGACTGCGCCATAGCGGAAGCTAATGGTGGGCCCAAAGATGAAGGCTCTAGGAACGAGCCTACTCTGATACCATGTCAAATTAGGCTCATAACTCGCTGCTTAGTTACCTAGGGTTTTGCTAGGAAACGTGAGTATGGAGAGGAAGGTTTGGCAAAAGAGGATGATTGATTAGAAAGGAAGGTACAAGTAGGAGAAATGGTGGGCAAGATGGACCACCAACAATATCAGTAACACTACACAGTAGCTACACTAGCAGGCAGTTATAAGAAATTTACAATTTCTAACACCAACCCTGCACTTTCAGCCTTTTTTATTTTGTAACCCTGAAATTTCAGCCTTTTTTATGGAAGGGGACTGATTTTTCAGCCTTTTATCGAACGTGTACACTGAATGCAGATTCCGCGTCCTTCCTGTAAAACACCCAAGATCATCGGGACTCCAACATTTTCACATCACAGGCGTACAAATCGGGATCCCTAAAAGTGAATCTGAGGGCCTGGTTGACTCCACGGTATCTGTACTCTACAGAGAAGTAAATAGAATCAGTTCGAATGTCTCATTAACCAATAAATGGATTCTTCGTGCGAGACTAATCTAGGTTCAAAATGTATTTACTCACTGTGACAAAGAACTCGTTACAGTGCATTTCAAGTTTTTTTTTTCCAATAAAACTACCATACGCTTACAAGCGCAATGCTCAAGATAGAAGCGCATATGTTTACCGTATTCTCCCAGACATAACACCCTAGGGTATAGCTAAAAATACACGGAAAAAATTGGGGGGGTCTCCTCATAGGAAAAAAATACATTATACCCGGGTCTAATTATAATGCACATTTGTTTTTAAGCAGAAATGAAAGGAAACAAAACAGGGGTCTGGCCTCACTATTAGATTGCTGATCAGGGCCGCAAAACCGTGTCTACGAGGATAACGTCGCCCTCCACTGGAATCTGCCACATGGCAAATCCCAGTGGGCCCATTGTGGCACCTGATTGGTTGACATCAGTGCCAACCTTGCGCAGCTTGGGTTCATGCAGGCCGAGGCCAGAATCGCGCACAGTGCTGCCTTGTCACTGTACCTGTGACCTCTTGACTATCGTTTGGTCACGTCTAGGCTTCCTCACATGGGTCTCTGTTAGAATCTAGAACGAGAATGAATGCATTGAACAGAAGTTGGGTACAAGTACGAACCCTGGTTGGGTTGTACCCCTTATGCGCTACCCCACTATAGCTTACACAAAGTAAATACTATAACAGTTTTGACACACCCCCATAGGCAAAGTGGGGGAGAACAAGTGGTCACAAGACCAGTCAAGAAAAGCAAAGCAAACTCAGGGTGGATCACGAAGTCACCACACATTCCGAGCACAAGCAAATGGCCACAAGGCCAGTTCACATGCAGAGTAATATAAAAGAGAACAAAGAGTACAGTGATCAAACCCTAGCAAGTGTAAGCACGCAGGTACATATATATATCACAGTACAAGCAAAGTCACGCAGTGAGCAAGTGAGGCAAAGTAGGCACAAGGCCTAAAACAGTACAGAAACGCTGATGATCACCAGACTGAAGTGCCTTGGTGAATATATCAGCAGTGTTGGCCCTAGTGGCCACGTAAGCAAGAGGTAGCTGACCACGCTGCTGCAACTCTCGAGCAAGGAAGTAACGTAGAGCGATGTGCTTCTTCGTTCTGTGATGCAGTCTGTGCTCCAGTCTGTGCTCCTGACACAAGGCAATCATGGCCTTGTTGTCTACGTACAACACTGGAGAAGAACGAGGCCGCTCTCCCAAGTCGGCCAGCAGGTAGGTGAGCCAGCGTAACTCCTGTGTAGCCATGCCCCCTGCGTAGATCTCAGCCTCACAACTAGAACTGAGAATAGAAGACGAGCGGGTAGACCGCCAAGAGAGAGAGCCGGAGCCAAGGCTGAAGGTGTAACCCTCTGAGAGGGTAGGCAAGGTCAGGTCGAGTGCAGGTCATCAGGTACATGAGGCAGCCCACAAGCTCTGGATACGAGCCACTCGACTCTACGGACTCGTCCAAAGGTGGAGCTGAGAGCGAGTGACCGGTAGACAGAGGAGTGGACTGTGGCGAGGAGTACCAGAAGCCGAAGCGCTGAAGGACCTGGTGCACCATGTGTGACTGAGTCAGGGTGATGGTGTGCCGTGCTCTGTCCTGAGTGATCTGCAAGCCAAAATTGCTGCGCAGCTCACCCAGGTCATTGCAGGTGTGTCTCTTCTGCAGCTCCAACTTCACAAGGGCCAGTGCCTCAGTGTCAGCAGTAGCAAAGACCAAGTCGTCGACGTA